TGCATGCCCAATGAGTGCATAAATACCAGGGCGCTGGAGATCTGGTGCTGCACAGGGCAGCGCAGTGCCACCCACAGATAGGACGAGGAAGGAAAGAGATGCTCCCACTGCATTGGCCAGCTCCAGTAGGCCAGAGATTTTGGTTCTGTACCAAGAGACATTTTTAGAAAGGAGCAGAATAGGACCAGGGAAGATAGCCTGCTCTAGACAGCAGCACGTTGGAGAGTTTCTCTCACTTCCTGCTTTGTGCATCGAGCTGGCTGAGAGCTGTGTCTGGTATTTGAGGCACGTCCCATCCCGCAGCCCGCTCCTGTCCCCCCAGGCTGGAGCAGGGCAAGGCTGCAGATGCTCGCCCGGCTACTGAGTCACTGAGCTGCAGCTCAGAGCCAAGGCTGCAAACAGACGCTGCTGTCTCTTCCCAGACCTGGAGCCAAACATGATGACCAAATCATTTTTTCTGATCTTCAGTTCTCCCTTCTACTTATGAAATACTTTGATGAAAGGCTATAGAAGTACTGCTCTATGAGCACACTACTTCATTCCGTCTCAGTGAGTAGTTTGCAACTGCTACCTAAAAAATGGGTACAAGAATATTTTTCCTTTTTTGAAGGCACATGCATCTAAATGCACGCTGTCCACAAATGAACGTTACTAGACTTGAAATTCAAAATTATATCTTCACTATTAAACATTTTCACAGTTATTATGCCTACTCTAATATCATGTGCCTTTCCTGTTTTTAATAAGCAACTGTAAAATTCTGTTCGGCCACAGGATGGCAGGCAGAGTATAAAGACACTATTTTATCTCCAACTTTTCACCAGGGAAAAGTATGTACATATGGCAAAGTAGTTCTTCTTTCCACTGTCCCTATCTGCTCATGCTTTTATTAATTAGATTAAGTACTTGGACCTACACAGCAAATGCAGAACAGAATTTATAGAATAAATATAAAATGGAATCAAATTGACAAAGGTCAGGTCAGACGTGCTGAAATTCAGCCATGTGAGACATGATCCTCAAAAGAGATCTCCTTATTTTACTGTTCAAAAATACTAATTTTAGTTTTCAGACACAGGAAGTCTCACTATTCCCTATTCTCGCAAGCTGCCTTAAGTAACTACCAAATTAAGTGATGCTGTTGTAGTATATTTATTCTGTACATAGCCAAGCAAGCATAAGAAATAACAAGAAGCTCAGCAGCCAGAATATTATGAAAATCCTCAGAAGTTATTCAACAGTTAAAAGCATATTTCTTTGCTGCTTTTATTCTTGACTCTAACTTAGTGAATTTGAGATTTTTGATAGCCTTCAGCACCAACCCCTAAAAAAACCAAGCACTTAAGCACAACCAAACGCTCCAGAGGGATTTCTCTGAGAACTCTGCATTCCTCTTTTGCCAAAGCGTAACACATTCCAGCTCACAGAGAGCAGCAGCTCAGTTCAGACACTTGTAAAGCTTCTTCAAACTACTTCCTGGGAGATAAATAAAAGCCTGTGGCTGCACTAAGGACTTCACCCTGTATCTATGCAAGTCTCTCTGCTGTCTTGAAGATATTCCCTGTCTAGAAAGGTAAGGAAACTTTTTCTTCAGCTTTTGGTTAGGCAACATGTACGTCTGAACTGAAGAAGGGATGGAGACTGTACAGTCAACAAATGTACAGTTGGAAAGAATATTGTAGTGAGATGGCAAAGGAACAAATAGAGAAGGAATGCTCACCTGTATCCAAAGATTTAGGCTCACTATGAAAAGCTCCACAAAGGAGGGATCTCCAGAAAGAGATCATTCCCCAGTGTTAGCCCTTAAATGGGGTCTAGGAGGGGACAAACCAGGTCCCACCCCTTCCGGTCACACAGATGAATTGCCTTCACCTGTGCTCCCAGGCTGACCCAGTCCTTGCTTCAGGTGATCAACCAGTGATTCAGGCTGTGACTCAACACAGCCATTACACAGTTACCATACAGAGGCAAAGAAAGGAACTAGATCTTGGAGGAGCATTCCACACAGAAACCATACTTCCCATTTAAGTATCATTTATATTGCCAATGCTATTGGCTGGCTTGGAGCGTTTGCTCCTTTCCCACAGCATTTTACTACAGAGAAAAACATTCATAATTCAATGCTTAGGAGGTTGGAAAGCTGGCTGAAAAGGGTGAATAATCTCTTTATCAAAGTTCTCTTTACATGGAGGGCTACCAACATTCTGAGCTAAGGCCAGGTGCAAATGCAGAAAGAAGCTCTGTATCTACAACCAGTTTCCAGGAATTTGAAAAAAGTGAAATGTTTAATAAAGCAGTAAGAAAGGACTGCAGGCATGTCTATAATCACTTTACCAGTGGACCACAAGCATTTATGAAAGCGCTGGATTCAGGAAAGAAGTTGGCATAAAGTGTGAAGAAATGCCATGCCTTAGTACTCATATCACGAAACATTTCACCATGCAACACACAGATAAATCAGCACAGTAAAGTTAAAAGTAACAACAATAATAATATACCAAACTGATTAAGAAGCTGAGGAAAGGAGGAGGAAAGAAAAAGCAAAACAGAACAACTTCTAGGATTTCCTATTGTCTTACAGATAATCCTCAACGCTCCCACTGACCAAACGTGGCAAATAGCAGCAGAGACGTTCACTGAGAAATCAGCCTCTACGCAGAATGAAAGACAGAAAAGGATCTAATTCTGACAGTAGCAACCATTAGCACCATTCCTTACAGTCTAGCAACTGGATACAAACAAGGATGCTGTACTTAATGCTGTTTATGATATGCAGTGTTGGTCAGTAGCTTACTCAGCCCTACTGCCTTCAACTTTTTTTTTTTTTTTTTTTTTCCCCCTCCAACTACTATGGGACTCCATTCTTATGCATGAAGATTTACATCTTTGCTTCGTACACAACCACTTGATTGGCTCCACTGAATTAAAAAGTTTTGGGTTTTGTTTTTTTTGGGTTTTTTTTCCCCCTTTCTTCCTCTTCAAAAAAAGAAAACTAAAAAACATCCCAATTTTCCTCAGCAATTATTTTGAATCTGCCACTTTCGTTAGTGAACAGAAATCATTTCTATGATTAGGAATAAATGCTCTTATCTTTTCTCAGATATTTTAAAAAAGGTTTAAAAAAAATACAAAAAAAAAAAACAGTAAAGTTGACTATCAAGATTTTTCATAGGCAAATATTCAGTGGGAGACATTCAATCCAGAAAAGCTTCTTTAGCTTGGTTTAAAGTAAAGAAGCAGCACTACCACATAGCATATTGTACATAAAATTTTCAGCTTGAAGACTGTACAGTAAACAAATACACAGTTAGTAGAGTGATGTGGTTAGGCTGGTATTTTACATGTTGTATAACTAGAAGGATTATCACAGCAGAATGAGATAACCAAAAATAAATGAAAATGCTCACCCATGTCTTAGGCTCGCAGAAAAACTCCAAAGGGAGCAACCTCCAGAATGAGACAGCTCCCTAGCAGCAGTCAGCCCTTAAATGGGGTCTAGGAGAGGTGCAGCCAGGCTCCACTCCTTCCAGTCACACAGCTGAATCGCCTTCACCTGTGCTCCTGCAGCTGACTCAGTGCTTGCCACAGGTGATCAATCAGAGGTTCAGGCCATGAGTCAACAGTTCCCGTACAAAGACAAACATCAGAAAAGAAACAACAGAAGTGGTATTTTGTACTTCTATTATAGGAAAGAAAATTCCACCTACATTTGTAATGTAAAGAAACTGTACTGTATGAGTATTTATGTATGAGTTATAATATGTAGAAAGGTTTCTGTGTGAACAAAGGAAATGTTTTGTTCATTATGAGACCAACTCCTTTTGTGTGAGCAAAGAGCTGCAGTTTTCTTTCTCATAGAGCATTTATCTCCCATTAGGTACAGAAATCAAACAATTCTGAGAACATCTCCAGCACAAAACGTGAGCTTCACTCATTGCAGACCTCCTTCAACCTCAGCTGGGCACTGGATATACTTTGTCTACAGGAGTTTCCTTCTGTCTGCACATTTAAGTTATGTATTTTATCTATTTATTACTTCTCGTGTGTTAAGACATTTCTATATTCCAGTGGCTTATATTGCTCAAGAACTATATGTGCTTCCTTGCTTTGTCCCCTCATTAAATACACACACACACACAAAAAAAACAAAAACAAAACAAAAAAACAGTGCAAAACTCACAATGTAGTAAAACACTCTACAACGATGCAGTGCAAACTAGATTCCTTACCTTATCTGAACTTTCCTTCGTTTAAGAATTTTTTTTCTTATCAAGTTTACCCAAATTCTCTCACTTTACTGGAAGCTAAACTTCATAAATAAATTTTGAAATATTTCCACCTTCAAATTTGAAAAACAAACATTTTAATTACATCTTACTATTTAAATTCTAAGGGAAAGTCTTTAGTTTCTTCTTTATCTGAAGAGGAACTGGAATAGCCCATGAAAAATAAATGAACTTTGAAAAATGTCTAATGTGAAGTATTTCTAAAATATTAAATAGACAATGATACAATATAGTTAACACACAATTAAAGTATAAAAAGCAACACAAACCTCAGTAATTTTTTTCATTTCCTGGCTCTGCCTTCTTTAAAAAGTAAATTAAATTTTAATCAATACCTTGAACACTACTACGTATTGAAAGCCGTCCTGCATTTTAGCTTCACTGCCCATATCTGAGAATAGGAAGTTTCAATTTTATATTTATAGAAAACATACATTAAATCTGTTGAAAACGGTATTTCTAACATTCATCTTTTGTTTAACTATCAGGATAGAATAACTTCCTGACTGTGGAGTTTTAATGCTAGGCATGAGCACCATTAGGCACCCACACCAAGATTGGAAATCCAGACCTGCATTTGAATTCTGATGTTTTTCACCTTGCACATTTTTGTTGTCCTCGAAGAGAAGAGCGTTTACAAAGAAAGCTTGCAGCTAGGAGTGCTTTCTCATTTTTTATTTTATTTTATTTTAAGAATTATTTTTAAAATAAAGTTCAGTTTGTAAAAAATAAAAAATAGACCTTCAGACTGCGGTATTTTGACGACATTCCTCAAGTGTCTCCTCAGGCCTCTGCTCATAAAATACTCCATGCAGAGAGCAGTTCTGATGTCTTAATAGTTCCAAAATTTTCCTTTCCTTTGCAATATAATCTCAATTTTTATTTTTTTTTTTTAAATAAGCTTCTCTTTTCCGGCATTTGAGTGGCATTATAGCTTCATAATGTGTTTTTGTTCCTTTCAGACTAAAAGTAAATAAGAACGGGACCAACTTGGCTAGAATAAAACCATTTATTTGCTCAAGCAACATTTCAAGAACACCTGCATAGCTATTTTGGAAACATGCTGGTATCTCCATTCAGCCTTCCACGTCTGTTATCCACCTTCAGGTACATTATGCCTGCTTAATGATGACAAACGCACAGCATATCCCATACCTTCACATTCAGCTAAAGATATCTCATTTTTCTACTTCTAGCATTTGAATTTCTTCTAACATGAAATGGCCAGTTCCTGGAAAGTTTCTATTTCAGTGATATTTAGATAAAATCAAGCCTTGGCTTGTACTTTCCTGTGCTTCCCATTTTTCCAAATCTGAGGAGTGCAATAAAAAACCATCTCTTCTGCTGAACAAGACCAGGCTATGGAAAAGAGCAAACATGGGTTTCTGCTCTTACAAGGTCACTGAGAAATATCTTTTATGCTCCATAGAGAACCACATCACAGCTATACTCCAGGTATACAATAGCTCACCAGTTCTGCTACTAAGGCATCTTTCATTGCCACAGAAGCAGCAGTTAAATTTTACACTTCAAGGGCACTTTAAAACAAAGATCCCTTGTCTCTGCCTCCCTTGCTCCTAACCTCCACATGCCAAACCTGTGTTGTTGTTTTTTTTTGACTGAGCCGGAATGCTGGCATCTGACAAATGTATGAGACAACTTTGCACAGTTCAGGTGGAAAGCAGCATGTACAAATGAGTGATGATCAAGAGTCAGAGAATGAAGCACTCATAACTTGTGTGGCCAAAGCACTCTCACAGAGATTAAAGCCTATGGCTGAAGTGCAAGAACTGAGAACTTTCTCTTCTTGCAAATAATACTATCAAGATCCGTAATTCATGACAGCACAGCAAAGAAGTCTGAGATTATGCAAGTCTGGAAATTAAGGCAAAATGTTTTAGGTATTAGGGCTGTGACTGTCTGCCCTCATTTACGTGGTACGTGTTTTAAAGAACGATCAACTGTTTGACGTTGCTTGTGATCTCTGATGAATCACAGCTTGCAGAAGTGATTCAGAGATGACAAGTCTCCAAATTTGGCTGCGCCAGTATTCAGCATTGTGCACTTGCCCACTCAACACCCACTGCTTCCAAACATAGAATTTAGCGTTCAGCAGCTTATACTTGATACTTTCTGCCTCAGCTTCTCACACATTATGCCTACTTCATGCTGGTGATCCTCCCTTTGAAATGTTGCAATACTTTCATGCATTTGGAACTTTAAATTCTGAAAGGGACATTTTACAGAAATGCCTTCCAGTTGGCACTGTGCCCAGTTAGAAGCATCTGGGAAAAAGAAAAAATTAAATGCATTTACCTTTCCACAAATCCTCACTGTCCCTTATATACAGAGGCTTGTTGTAAGTCATGAGCTAAAATACCAGAAAAGTTTATTCTTTCAAAGCCCGATATATTTTCTACAAGCACTTTATATGCCTCAGGTACCCTCACCAGCTCCATCTCTCCATCTTACTACCATGGGAGGATGGAGACAGACTTATTGCTCAAGCACAAACAGCAGCAGCTGCATACACCTTTTCTCTGTCAGCAGCGCTTCAGGTTCTGCTGCTGTACTACGTGAAGTTGCCAATTTTCTTAATGTACAGGGAACAATATCCTTTAATTTAAGAATGAAGAATACTAAAATTACTACTCCAAAAATAAAGGGGTTTTATTGGTATATTTTTGTTTGTTTGTTTTTTAAATACAGAGTTACATACCTCATTTTGACACACCACCTGTGTGTGAGTGCACTTTGTGAGAGATTAGTGACCCAAGCCTGAGAAAGCCTAAAGCCTAAAGCCTTCAAGCCCACTTTGGAGAGAGTAAGCCCTGCTGTCTTAAGGTATTAAGAACTGTAAAACATCTCATAGGCTTAAAGTATTGCTCATGTTAATTGCCATTGCAGCCGAATCTGTGAAAATGCAATATTTTCATGCTTTGTCTGTACTAATGACTTTATGGTAAGGAAGCAGCTTATACAAAATATACTCTGCTACCTTCCTCCTCTCTCTGCTCCCTACTCCAAAAAGGAAGGAATCAAAAGGGTATAAAGCCATTAGTGGCTAAGCAACTCCTTTCACAACTAAGCAAAATTTTTGCAAATGGAAGAATTTTGGTTTCAAGCCAGAAGTCCAGTCCCTGAGTAACCCTCTCGCTATGCGACTACGCAGCTGCCTTGCCAACCCTGGCACTAGGGATGTTCAGCTGACACAGACCAGTAATAAACAGAGCAAGCACGCACACCGGGTACGTGCAGGACACAGACACAAGAAATCGTGCAGGTCCAGTGAGCACAGCACCACCGAAAAGCACTGCCTGCGAGGCAATCCATCTAATCCCCCAACACCGGCTGGGTCCCAGCTCTGCTACTTCTGAAGTTGTGCTGATGCCAGTATGGGCTGTAAGCACACTGAGTGAAACACTGCCTTTCGATTCCTGCCTTACTCTAATAAATTACTTAAGATGAATGCACTTTTATCAGATAGTTTATCTCACATTTCTTTCTTGAGCAAAATAGTTCCCAAGTGGCAATGCTATAAGCACAGCCAAAGTTGCTTTTCTGAAGTGAAGCTCACTCCAGAAAGAAAACTTACTTTCCAAAAGCAATAAATTACTTAGGGATAAAGAAAACGATGATCATTTCTGTATGTGTAGCTGCCTTACCACCAAGTCAGAAAATCAACTGCTTTCTCAGACCTCCTCCACAGTCAAGGAACATGCTGAGTGGTTGTGCCAACAGCTGCAGGTTGCTGGGATGGATTTTGAGGTTACCGAACACTGACTCATCCTCCTTCATTCCCCACTTCCAGAAAAGCACTGAAAGATACCCATAAATCCGTAAGTGGGATGTACTGAAGCAGATCTCAAAAGACTATGTCAAACAGATGTATCATTACAGGAAAGAAGTACACAGCTATCAAATAATACGTTTCAGTGAAAATGGTAGAAGCATTCTTTTCTAGTTGTGTTTAATGTTATTTTTGGATGTGAGAACGGAATTTTGAAAAATCAATAATGTTTCTGCAAGGTTCTCAGGTACTGTTGGGAAGGATGGTAAGCTTCAATAGTTCCCAAATTATTTGTTTTGCTAAGTTTTTGGCAGCAGCTGAAGGAAGAGAACCACTGGGGCTGAGTGTCTGAAGTTACTCTTCCCTGCAGCTCTGCTGTCAAACAGCTCCAGCAGTGCAACCAGTAGCTCTAAAAACTCAATATTGGTTCTCAAAATGCATTTTACAAAGGCTTTGCCCACTAATCTATACTCCACCATAAAATCAAACAATCCCATTAAAAAAAAAAAAAAATTAATAAAAAATAAGTGCTTTACCTGACACTTCAATCACAAGGAGTTCCTAAGACAGAATTCTGCTCCCTTGCACTCAGAAAAACAGCAGAGCACTCTACCCTGCCATGCAAGTAAGTGAGTAAAAGAAAATAAAGTTTCACCAGTACTTACTCCGTTCAGAAGTGAACCCATGGAAGACCACAGCAGAAACAAAAGGTAACTGAAATGCATGTGTTCCTTTAAAAGTTCATTGCAGCAGCCAAACAGAAAAATCTGAACAAATCTGGAAATCTGTCTTCTTTTGGGGCCTATCAGTCTCATTCCTATCAGATCACAATAAGAGTGGAGTAGTAATACTCAGGAAAAATAAAATAAAATATTAAGCTACAAGTAAACATTGAAATTCCTTGTTAAACAGTGATATTAAAGAATATTAAAGGTGTGAACATCCCAAGTGCTTCTTAGGAGTATCAAAGAGTCAGTATAGTTCATGAATATAAAATAAAAGACAAGCTATATTATTATCAGCTAAAAGCTGAGAGATCATTGCATCTATACGATGATCTGCTGCTCCTTACCCCCATCACAATCTCAAATTCAAGTACTTAGCAGCAAAAAAAATAAAATAAAATAAATTAGGTGAAAGCAAAACAAGCCAGATACTTCACAAATGTCTCTTTTGTTGCAGAGCACCTTCATGTCCCTGCACTCCCAAAGTCTCACATACACTGCTGGGAAAGCTGCTGCTTTCCTTCCGATGCACATACAAATGTCCCAAAACAAACTGTTAGAAAACTCAAATTTTTTAAAGTGCTTTTAAAATTAATGAAAATTAACAATAATTTCCTAATTCTGATTGCTTGAGATAGCTTAGTGACATTCAGAAAATGCAGCAAAGCTTTCAGAACTAATTTGGGTGAACAGTTAAGATCACACACAGAATCACACAGAATCGCAAGGTTGGTAAACGACCTGCAAGATCATCTAGTCCAACCACCCTCCCATTCCTATTAGTACCACAGGCTACTAAAGATCTTTTTCTGGTGTTTATTACTACCAGTAATTACATTCAGGCAGCTCCGTATGCACTGCCATCCACCTGAGAGTTGATAACCTTGGCAAAAACTTCTTTTAAAAGAAAAAAAAATTAGAAGTGTGAGCACGGTAAACATTTACCCTTCCAACCAGTGTATATTAAATGTAGTGCTTCATCTGACAGTTGATTAGTAGATGCAAGTAGATAGCAATAAGCAAGTCCTAATACACTGAGAGGAAAAAAAGATACGAAAAAAATAACAACATCTAATACAACTGAGGAGTAAAAATAATGCATCTAAGAACTCATGAAAAAAAGATCTCACTCTTTAAAAACTTCCCATATTTTTCATTAAAGGATTGGTTGTTCTTTTGTTGCTCATTTTTCAAGACAGAACCTCATAACACTAAACTATCTTTAACTGTTCCAGTGGTAAAAATATTCCCTGTTCTGAGTCAGTTTCACAGACTGCAAGCAAATGCTCAGAAAGAGGCAATTAACAAAAGCTGCTTTCATTCTGAAGTCTTGAAGACTTTATGCTCTGCAACATTAGCCTAAGCACAGGCTACATAAACATCCACAGACACTCACTAAGACGGAGCTGTTTTGTGTATGGAAACGGAGTTGGGAATACATTTATCGATCTCCAAATGCGAGCCTGAAACTGAGAAGGGTTGACAGTGTAAGAGAAATGAAAAGAAAGCAAAGAATTTCCTGTGAGAAACCATTCTTAACAAGCTCACTTGAGCGTACTGTAGAAATCACTACATTTTGCCGTAATTGCTTCAGTGTAACTTCAAGTCACATTACGACCTACTCCCCTAAGAGCAATGGAACAGGGAAATAAGCAGACAGGCTACTTTGGGGTAGTAGAATAATCTCACTCCTCTATCAACTCCAAACATAACTTTTGTTTAGGAAACCTGATATGAAGTGTCATAAAATATCAGCACGTAAAAGTGATCTGTTCAGATTATCAAAAACTTTTCTACTTAAAGAAAGAAAAAAGATGAGAAACATCCATTCTGCTGGGG